GGGATCCGCTGTAAATCCAAGTTAGAATTTTCTGTCCCGAAGTTGGTTGGGGAGACGACGGGCAGTGAGGGAGGGAAAAATTCGGAGGAGACACCGCTGCCGCTACCACTGCTACCGCTTCGCTCCGGAGAGAGAAGGAGGAAAGCCCGAGGAGCGCCAGAAGGAGGAAAGCCCGAAGAGCGCCGGCCGGGTGAATCGCTCCCTGAGCGAGAACGCTCCAAACGTGGCTTTTTCCCCAACTTTGAGAGTTTTCCCCAACTGCTGAGAGAGAACACTGTGTTACAACTTCCTGTTTACAGAGTAATAGCGATCTGCTATTCAAAAAGCGATAAATTCCTCTCATCAGCTGCTAGTAAAACAATCAACCCGTTCCTTGCAGACTCCTAATACTACCTCATTACCTCAAAACTTACAACTTCTCTACATCACCTATATCAACGATTAGATAATCAATTTCTATAAAATATTTTATTAATGGTTTTATTAATTTATTGTTTTTAATTGATTAGTGTGATTAGAGTGTTTAGTGCAAACAGTGTGATTACTGACTAGATTAAAATATCAAAATTCATGTAATTTAATTGAATAGCAAAATCATTGATTTAGTGAATTTAAATGAACAGTGTGATTAATAATTAGTGTAATTAATTGATTAGTGATTAGAGTAATTAATTGATCAGGCTGATTGTTGCTCAGGAATATTATCTGACTTGAGAGATTACTACAATTGATTGTTTGATATTGCTTGATGTAATATTGGCTATATAGATTACCCAAAATTGTTCCTTTAATTAATTCAATCAACGTACTATTTTACCAATCCTACCATGCCAAAAAGTAAATCCTACGTCAAACCACAACCTAAAGAGAAGATAATCCCCACCAATGAGCCACAAGACTCCTGCACATGCCTTAAATGCTACAAAAGTCTAAAGGATAATAAATACTCCATCATATGTTCTCTGTGTAAAAAATACACTCATCATGACTGCTTGGGATTACCTGAGCAAATGATTAAATACCTAGAATCATCCAATGAATATCCATATTTCTGCAAATCATGCATACCCAAACTGGATCTGTCTGAAAGAGATGATACCATCGAAACCATTGAAACATCCCCAATCATCGAAACCATTAAAACATCCCTCAACACCATAGTAGCATCCCTGGACGCCGTAAAAGAAAGAATAACCAACCTTGAAAAAAAAGACACAACGCAAAAACCTGAACATCAAATAGCTACAAACCACATCTCCACCCATCAACCACAATCCAATCCAAAACCCAATCCACAAATAAACACAACCCAGACAAATATTGATATCCCAATCCTCATCAGAGAAGCTGTTGAGCGTGAACGGAAACGTCCAAACGCCATCTTATTTGGACTAGAAGACATCAATGTCGATGACATCACAACTGTCCGAAACATCATCAGAGATTATCAAGCATCAACCATCTCCGCTGATGAAATACTTGACATTTCCCGCATCGACTGAGAGCTCAAAAATAGAGACGGCTCTGTGGCCCCACGCTTGTGCAGGGTCATTTGCAAAAACGAATCAAGCAAACGTAAATTCATTTATACTATAAACTCACTCGCCAAAACCAACACCAACCACAAGAACCTCCGTTGCCGCCCTGACCTAACCATACAGCAACGTGCCCGCTCCCGTGTACTCCGCATCGAACTCAAAAACCGTCTAGACAATGGAGAGAAGGACCTGTACATTGACTACCATGCTGACTGTATCAAAAGTAAGCCACGCAACCCAATTCTCAACTTTTACCCTCAACCACAACCCTACCTCAACCCATCCACCATCACCCAAGACTAGGCACGCGCGCCCCCAACTACCTCAATTCTAACTACTGCCGGACTTAAATGCAAACTACTCAATACAAGAAGCCTCGTGAATAAAATACCTGAATTTCTCATCCTCCTTAATACGGCTAACTTCGACATTATATTTGTCTGTGAAACATGGCTCAATGCATCTCTCCCCGACTCCATTACCACAGTAAGAGACTATCATGTTTACCGATCAGATCGTGAAAATCGTCGAGGAGGTGGTGTTGCTATATTCTATAAAAAATCCTTACATCTAAAAAATATCCAAGTTACCCAGGAGCTTGCCCTTCCTGAAACCATCATCTGTGAACTATCCTTAAATATCACAATTCGATTCTTACTATGTTACAGAGCACCTGATTATGACATCGAACATGTAAACAAGCTAAATACATTACTAACATGGGCTACATCCTGCCCATACCCTTTTATCTTTCTTGGAGATTTCAATCTACCTCATATCGACTGGACCCTAAATAATTGTACAACTGAAATCATACACACAACCTTCTACAATGCTATTACAAATCTGGGACTGGAACAACTAGTAACCAACAACACTAGACTAAACAACTGCCTCGATCTCATCTTCTGCAATAGTTTGAATTTAATTTACGGAATACAAACTAAAGAACCCTTTTCCAGCAGTGACCACAATATGATTGACTTTTGTCTCAACATACGTCCACACAAAAATCACCTCAATGATGTAATCCCCAATTATAACTTCAAAAAAGGCAACTATGATCTTATAGACAACGACCTCTCATCCCTTGATTGGCAATCTCTATTCTCTGGATGCAATACCGTTGAAGACCATTACAACATATTCTTACTTGAAATCAAAAGAGTCATCATACTATATGTTCCAACAACAACTCCCGAAACAGAACAAAAAAGAAGATTACCCATATCAATAAGGAAACTTCAATCCAAAAAGAGATCACTCTGGCGGAAAAACAAATCTGGTCACGTTGCCAATTTCAAAAACCGATACAAAAACTTATGCCACCAGATAAAGACCGAATGCACCAATTATCACATTAAACAAGAAGAAAACCTTCTAAGCACCAATTCCACCCGTGCTTTTTACAATTTTGTAAACAACAAACTAAAAGACTCAAGGTCCATCCCTCCCTTGATAGGACCTGATGGTAAAGACTGCAACCACGACACCATTAAAGCCAACATCTTTAACACATTCTTCGGCTCAGTATTTGTAAACAGCAATGGATCTTGCCCAGTATTTCCTAACCGTACCACAGATAACAACAATGACCTAATACATATCGATTTCACAGAAGACAATGTTGAAAAATCACTACGCAATCTAAAACCATCCCTATCTATTGGACCGGATGGAATATGTGCCTACTTCTTAAGAAAGCTATCCACTGCCATAGCCAAACCTCTAAGCATAATCTTTGAAAAATCTTTCAGGACCAGCTCCTTGCCTAACCTATGGTCACAAGCCACAGTCATCCCCATCTTCAAAAAGGGAGACCCAAGCCTAGTTGAAAATTACAGACCAATCTCCTTATGCTGCGTCACCTGCAAAGTCATGGAATCAATTATTAACCAATCCATCATCCTCCACTTAGAGACAAACAACCTACTCTCCAATAAACAATTTGGTTTCAGAAAAAAACTATCCTGTAATCTGCAACTCTTACACTGCAAAAACATATGGACGACACAACTCGACCAGGGCAAAGCAATAGACGCAATCTACATAGACTTCTGTAAAGCCTTTGATTCAGTGGTACACGACAAACTACTCCTAAAAATAAAATCCTATGGTATATCTGGACAACTGAATAACTGGATAGAAGCATTCCTATCAAACAGACAACAAATGGTCAAAATCGGGAGAGTCCTATCAAATCCAGTACCTGTCAATAGTGGTGTCCCTCAGGGCAGTGTTCTAGGACCAACTCTCTTCATACTCTACATAAATGACCTCTGTGATCATATTAAGAGCAATTGCGTTCTTTTCGCTGATGATGTAAAGCTGTTCAATACTACAGACAATACTACTACCCTACAAAAAGATCTTGACTATGTATCCGAATGGTCAAACAAATGGCAACTTCAAATCTCAACAAATAAATGCTCTGTCTTACATACTGGCAAAAAAAATCAGAAAATAAAATACAAGCTGAATAGTCAAGACCTTGTTGATGACCCAAGCTCTGTAAAGGACCTTGGAATACTCACCTCTAATGATCTGAGTGCTAGAGCCCACTGCAACTACATAGCCAAAAAGGCATTAAGAGTTGTTAACCTAATCCTACGTAGCTTTTTCTCTGGCAATATCACACTACTAACCAGAGCATACAAAACATTTGCTAGACCAATACTCGAATACAGTTCATCAGTCTGGAACCCTCATTACGTATCTGATATTAGCACAATTGAGAAAGTCCAGAAATATTTCACGAGTTCTCCACTCTTCTACTCGTTTTAGAATACCTTATGCCACCAGACTTGAAATTCTAGAACTAGAAAACCTTGAATTACGCCGTCTTCGGTCTGACTTAAGCATGGTATATAAAATCATACATTGCAATGTCCTACCTGTCAATGAATACTTCAGCTTCAACCATAACAACACAAGAGCACACAATAGATACAAACTCAAAGTAAACCGCACCAAACTTGATTGCAGGAAATACGACTTCAGCAATAGAGTGGTCAATGTCTGGAATACTCTACCCGACTCTATAGTCTCTTCCCCAAACCCCAAAAACTTTAACCTTAGACTGTCTACCATTGACCTCACCCCTTTCCTAAGAGGTCTGTAGGGGGCGTGCATAAGCGCACCAACGTGCCTACCGTCCCTGTCCTATTGTTTCTCTATTCTTTTATTTTTCTTATATGTACCCATCTCATGTATTCACAACTATGTATACACTTATACTTATTATCTTGTAAACAATTGACAAATCAAATAAATAAATAAAATAAATAAAATAAACTTTCAACGAAATTCCGATGCCGATTAGTGTACATTCAAAGTGACAATAAAGTTCTTCTGTCTATCTAATCTATTTTAAATTACAATCTAAATGCATCGGAAATTGCTCGGTCTGGTCTGGTCCAGCCAATCACCGAACAGGAGCCTCTGCTTTCTCCGGTAAACTACGCTACCCAGCATGCCCAACGGGAAGAGGCGAACGGAACCGCGTATGGATGGAGGTGGCGGGGCGCGCCGAGTGTGCTGCAATTGTGTTTCGTGCTGTGGGCTTGTGAGGAGCAGCTGAAGAGTTCCCAGACGTTCTCCGAGTAGGCGCCCGCGCTTGAGGCGATGTAATGGCGGACCGCGCGCGCCCTTGGAGCCTGGAGGAGCTGCGGAGCGAGGAGCTGCCCAAGCGGGAGATTGTCCACTTTCTGCAGGACCAAGCGGCGCATAGGGTGGGGGATCCGAGGCGCGATCTGACGGGTGGGCAGGCTCCACCCATGCGGGTTAGCCTGGAGGCGTGTAGCTTTAATGTGGCCAGAAGATGTGTGCAAAGTTGCGAAGTCCCCTCCTCTCCTGCCTTTTTTAGCCCTCGTTGCCCAGTTTCTTTTAGTCAGGGCTCCCTCTTTCTTTAACCCTGTCCCGCTCTTGGAAGCGAACCATATAGATCTCTCTTCGGTTGTGATGAGAGCCTTTCGGTGGGACTGAGTTATCTTACCTCCCCTTTTTCATTTCACGTGGCTGCGGCATTTCCACATGCCAGCTTGGGTTGTGGTCGTAAGCATAGGGGGGGGGGGGGGGACCGCCCTCCCCTCCTTTGGGGGGGGGGGGGGGGGGGGGGGGGGGATAGGGATTGCTGATTCCATTACTGACAGGCCAAGATAAAGTAATTTATAACCATAGATTATAATTCATTCTTGCAGATTTTAATATATTGATTTTTTTTCCTTGTGATTTGTTGAGTGATCATTGGATGCCATTTGGCATACTTTGCTTTGAATATCAAAGCATAGCAAAACATTAAAATAATGCTGTTAAAGGCAATAGTCTTTTTTTTTTTTTTGAAATGCAAGAAAGCTGCCCTTTGGATTATGTATCAAAAACAAGAAGTAGGCCTTGGAGAGGGCTTCCAGTAGCCATTCATCTGTTATCTGTGTTAATACAAAAGGAATTGCTAGTGGATAAAAAATAACCTAATTTTTTTTCAAATTGAAATAGTTTAGATGAATCCAAGAGCAAAGGAGAAGGGCAGTACCTTATATTTTTAATTTAAGCTGATTTAGATTTATGGAGATAAGATCATAGATATTTTTATTTGGAATATTGTGAAATTGTGATTTGTTTTTAAATTTAAAGCTGATCTGCAATTTCATGGTTTACTTACATTGCAAATGAATTTGTTTATCTTCCATAAAATTGTCAGATATGAAAAATCAAGAGGAAGAGAATAGTATTCTTTTCAACTGTGTGTTTTGCTCTTTTTCTGTCTTATGATTGGGTTCTGTTCTGCAGTTTGCTGTGAATTAAATCCCTGAATGGATTTCTTGGTATAGGAATCACATGATTTTGGATTTCAGGAGCAATAATTGGATTTATTTGATGTTATCAGAAACTTTATATAGACTTCAAGTTTCCATTTTGTAAAGTGTAGGTACTATTCCAGTTCACTTTGCAGTATAGGAAAACTTGTCATTTATTACAGGTAGCTGAACTAATCTTAAGTTTTGTTTGTAGTTTCTTGCAGAGCACAAGTTGCTTGGTCAGATAAAAAATGTGGCTAAAACAGCTACTAAGGATCAATTAATAACAGCATACAATCAACTCTTTGAAACCAAGGTAGGTCTTACTTTACCAGTGCTTTATTTGTAAACTGAAAATGAATGAAAAACTCAGTGGATAGATCTAGTATTTTTTAGACAAAAGGTGCTTGAGAATCTCTACTTAAAAAGACTGCTGTGCTGAAGAAATCGTCTTTGGTTTTTTTATTGTTGAACTTTCTGTTTGAAAGAAAAAATAAAACTGATTTGGGTTTTGATTATTCAGTAGATTTTGATTATAGAAGTGACTGGTATTTTCTATTTTAGATAAGTAAAGAGTTGATATTATAAATATGTATCTTACTGCACTGAAAGAAGTTGGAAATCACTTTTTGTTTTCTTTCTTCACTCTTTCCTTTTCTTCCCCCCTTCATTTCCCTCTTTTTGTATTGTCTTTATTTCTATTTCTATTTTATATTAAGTAAAAACTTTTAATAAAGATATTTTTTAAAAGAAATTTTTGTTTAAATACCTATGTGTACTGCTTCCAGTCAGACTAGGTTGAGTACATAAATATGGTCAAACTAGCTTTTAAAACTTGTGTTACATGAATGTTTTCTGCAAAAGGTTATTTTAATTAAATGTCATCATTTTATCTTGGACCTGCTATATAGTATTATACATTTTATATGGCAGAACTATGACATTTTAGAGAAGGTTTTTAAGATTGCACCAAGAAAATGTAAGTGAACATTCAAAATATAATAAGTAGGATTACATTCATATTATTCAATATTATAATAATATACCAGGGGACAATAGAGTAGAACAGGGGTCCCTATCCCCCAACCCACACCCTGGTATCAGGTCCTGCTGCTTCCGGCTGTCTGCAGAGGAGAAGTTGGGGATTGCTGAAATAAAAAACAAACAGTTGGCAAAAATCACAAAGTATCAAGTTCTAAAAATTGACATTGAAAGGTTCCAGTAAATGGCTATCGTGGTCCAAGTGGCTATAGTCACACTGTCTGCAATATTAAAAAAAAAAAATCTTGGTTGGCACTTATACAAACTATATATTGACAAAAAACCCATCTGTCAATTGCAAATGGCCACATTACTTAGCTACATACATATACTAGGACGATACATTACAACATTCTATATTCTTGGTAAGAACTTGATGTTTGCAAAGGACAACATCAGCTAAAGAACTGGCAGCTGTGACTTCATATTGTTGTGAACAGATATGCTCAAATGGCTCCTTTGCTAGATGTCCATTCTTGATCCCCTTTATCTAGAGTTGTATAATTGTTTTTATCATATTTACTTTTTAATCTGGATTTTATATATTTATTGTTTGATTGTTGTACAGAACCTAGAAATGTGTTTTGTGAAATGGGCAGTTGTAAAATTTGATTAATAAATACTTTTCATAGCACTATTATAACTTCCTTAGGTAGATCACTAAAATGTATATTTCCCAGAGCTTTAAAGACACAGAGAACACTGAACAAGTAGCAGAACAGCTAAAAAATATCAAGATTGATGAAAACCAGCCCAAAAAGACAAAATCTGAAGAAGTTGCTGATGAGGTAAGTTGGGAAGTACCTCAATCATGTTTTTCAATTTCTGCTAGGTGAATAAATTAAAAAAAAAAACATATACAAATTAGAAAAGACATTAAAGAATAACAATACATCTACCATAGCCAAGATATGTAAGAGACAAGTTATTTGGTCTCTTGAAAATGTTGCTGTAATTATAAAAATATTCTGCAAAATAGGTCAATCCTATATAGCTGCTTAAAGTTAAGTTCTCTGATAGTTGTGTCTGATTTTGAGCTGGTAGTGATTCTATTATGCTCATTCGATCTTTTGGAGTTCTGACTTCTGAAATTAGTTGCATTTTCCATATATATAACAACATGATCAACTCAAGCTTGAACACATAATTATTTTAAAATAAACTTTATATGATCAAGCTTAGTGGTATATGTCACAAACCTCCATACATATTTTTAAGAATAAAGTCTATTATAGAATACTTTTCTGGATATGTGCGACCAAAATGATACAGTTTATATATAGTTTTACCCTTTTGGGGACCAGCTACAAAGTTACTTGCAAAGAATTTTCAGTTCAATAGTGAACTGAATGTATGAAAAGGAAAGTGGACTGTTTATATCCTTCTAAAGATGTACCATATAGAACTCTGAATATCTGTATTTTTAAAATAGCGAAATTTAGTGTTTTGTTTCTCCATTTTCATTGTAGGCTTCCCCAAAATATACAAAGTCAATTCTGAAAAAGGGAGATAAAACCAACTTTCCAAAAAAGGGTGATATTGTTCATTGTTGGTATACAGGCAAGCTGCAAGATGGAACTGTTTTTGACACTAATATTCAGTCAAGTAAGTGCTTAGATAGCTTTTTAAAAAAAGCTGGCGAAGTTTTTAAAGAAGTTTTTAAAGTGGTCCTCATTGAAGGCAGGGTAATGGGAGCTGCAGTGTCTCTCAAACAATAAATTGGAGCCGAGTAAGACTGTAAATGTTCTACATTTAGCATTTGTTCAAGCCATGTTGGAAAAAAGATGGAAAGACTTTTTTAAAGTGTTTTATTCCAATATTTTTATAAGTATAATTCAAGGTGGCAAACACACCTGATATTCTCTCCTATTTTCACAACAGCAACCATGTAAGGGAGTTGGGCTAAGAAAGAGTGGTCCAAAATCACTGTTGGCTTTCATAACTAATGTAGTATTAGAACTGAGTTTCCTGATTTTTAGCCTGGTGCCTTAACAATCTACAGCAGGCTTTAGACTTTACTAGAAATCTTGTGAATCAAGTCTGGTCTTCCTTAGAGTGTATTTTGTACCCAGAAAGGAGAAAAGATGCAAATACTCTGTTAAGATTTGAAATTGGTAAGCATTCCCTGTTAAACTGAGTTTGCAACCAAATCTATTTTTCAGGTTCGAAGAAAAAAAAAGCATCTAAACCACTGAGCTTCAAAGTTGGTGTCGGAAAAGTGATTCGAGGTGTAAGTGTGCTAATGTGGGTGGACTGAGTGTATCAGGTTCTCATACCCTTTCATTATTAGAAAATAGTTTTGGCTCTGCAGCTGTTCAGCCATCTGTTTCTTTCAATAAGACGAGGCATTGGTATATATGATCCCATGAGCCCTTTAGATTCTTCTATCCTTCCAGGAATGAGAACACCGTTGGATGTCTGCCCATACATTTTCTGCAGATCTTGGGCCAGTGTCCAACTGTCATAGAGGTTTTGGAAGAGGGCTATGTATCATACATATATACATCACATGCATGATGTATATCATGTTTGCAGATGTCACTTCTGATGCTTTCCTTAGTTCTAGTTTTGGGTTGTAGGAAGATTGTTTACTAGTTCTGCATCTCTACCAAGACAAGAGACTGCAATCTTCAGGTTTGTAGATCTGTATTCGTGACCTGTGATATTGCAGTCTCTGGGTCCAATTAATCGAGTCCAATCTACTTAATTTTCAGAGGAATTTTGTAGGCCTGATGAAAGTATCTTGTACTATTTCTAAATAATATCTAAATAATGTGTTGTGTGGGAAATGTTAACAGAAAGGCTTCAAGCAGCAGTGGAGAATGAAAAAGGCTTTTTATCTGACCTTATTGATACTGTAACCAGAACAAGTTTCTTTTCTATTTTTCAGTGGGATGAAGCCTTACTGACAATGAGCAAAGGAGAAAAGGCTAATTTGGAAATTGAGCCAGAATGGGCTTATGGGAAGAAAGGACAACCCGATGCCAAGTATCCTGCTGACATTTCTCATTATGTAAATTGCAAAAACCATTTTTCCTATACAATAGAGATTGATGACATTCCCCCACCATTTTACAGTATTGCAGAAGTCCCCATTGTTGTCCATAATATTAAGTGTCTTAATTGACATCAGTGGGATGGATCTTCATTGACATATCTCTAATTGTAAAAGACCTGGAAAGATTTCTCAGGGGTGGGGAGGTAAGGTGAGACAGAATAAGGCAAAATTCAAGTGGTAATCTTCAGTATTCTCATCTAATATTGGATGCAAAGCAGAAAGGGGGAAAACTTGTTGCCTGATTTTTATCACTAAGTTATCTTTGTCTACAGTAATGATTTGACTGGGGAGAGGGAGGGAAGACTCCTTAAATTGAAACATCTAAGGATTAAAAGGTAGAAAAGGAAAAATGGACATTGGTGGGTGGTTAGAATATTTCATATTTTCAATTTCATGCTTACATCCTCTGAGGGGCATTGCTTACACAATGTCTAGGTACTTTTCATTTATGAGCATTCATTACAGGTAGTCTTCAACTTGGGACAATTGAGCCAAAATTTGTTGTTAAGTCCATTCTACGACGTTTCTTGCCATGGTTAAGTGAATCACTGTAGTTATTAGTCAACTGGTGTTTAGTGTTTCTGGCTTCCCTATTGACTTTGTTTGTCAGAAGGTTGCAAAACGGGATCATGACCTCGGGACATTGCAGCCATCATAAATGAGCCAATTGCCAAATATCTAAATTTTGATCATGTGACCATGGGGATGCTACAATGGGTGGAAGTGTGAAAAATGGTCATGTCACTTTTTTCAGTGCCTTTGTAACTTTGAACAGTCACAAAATTGACTTGTTAAGTCAAGGACTACCTGTACATGGTTGCCAAAGTTCCCATCAGAGTTAAACACTGAGTAAAAATAACTTGCAACTTAGAAAACATTACACCAGCTTTTCGAGTATATATACATTTGCAACCACAATCTACTATATAAGAATTTCCTTAACTTCTATTTCAGGATTCCACCCAATGCAAAACTTTTCTTTGAAATTGAACTAGTAGATATTGAATGATATATTGTCTCCTCTTCAGTCTTGAATATTTGTGAAGACACAATACTTCCAATTTCAGGGAAATGCAAATGTGGCCTTTTATCAGATGGAGGAATCAAGACTCTTATTGCAATTATAGTACAATGTCTGTATTACTAAAAACTACTTTATATGTGGCTTTGACTGATGTTTTGTAGCAAGGACTTGAAGAAAATTCTCTATTTAAGTATTTTGTGCTGTCTATGGAAAGACATTTTAAGATCAGGGTTCCTGATTTGCTGCGTTAAAATTTCTATCCCTTTCAGCCCAAATTACCGCATTTTGCTAATCTATTTTAGTCTACACAAAGAATGGGAGATTGTATGTTTAAATCAGTTATCTTAATCTCGCAGGCATACAATATTGGAATAGCAGGGAGTAGGGTGGTTAATTCAGCTGGACAATACATATCCAAAATAGATGTACATCATGCTGTATTTCAGCAAGGATGTTCTTATTTTGAAAACAGATTAATGTAAAAGAGCAGTTAAGGATTTTTGGACCAAATATGCACCTTGGCTTTTGCAACGCATTGTAATACAACTTCCCTACATGCAAAGTTTCAAAATCAACGCATAAAGGAAACATGGAACCGAATAGCAGTACAGGTAAAACCATCAGAAAGAAACTATGTTCCAAAATAAATTTGATAAACAGACCCCTAAGGAAAAGCTACTGTTCAGAAAAATTACACAATTTGATTTTATTACAAAAAGGCATTTTAAACAAAAAACTAAACCTACACATGAAAATTCCAATACAAAATCCATCCTAAGACAGAACATGGTTCTAGTAACACACTTCATTTTAGTCACTCAAAGAGATACCCTATTCATTATGCATCCTCATCAGTTAACATTTTTCTAAAAGCAGCTTTTGGGTGCTGCAATTGTAAACTGGTAAAAAAAACCCCAAACAGATGCAGGAAAAGAGATATGGAACTTTGAAAATATTCAAGCACATTTTACTGCAGAAGAAAAGGAAAGTATCTCCTGGCTTGGATGTCTGAGATTGCTGGGGTAAACGTCGGTATTAATACATGTTAATTGTTGCAAATTAACTTTCCCAATTAATCATCAACACTACTTCATATAATAATTTGATAATTTTACTATTGAGAAAGTTAATAGCTCAGTAGCTATAGAATACAGCAAGATACCAATGAGTTTGTCACAAGAAAAATGTGAAAATCAACTCATCATACATGCAAAAGACAATCACGTGACAGTTTGTTCACATCCCTATTTCTTTCTCTTTTACAAAAGAAAAGCATTAAAACATTGTGAAACTCCGTTTGTCATTAAATTGTTCTGCTCAGGTTGAAGATGACTGATAATATTGTCCATAATTCCATGCATTTGAGTAATTGTACTAAAAAGGGAAAAAAATAAGAGAAAATTAATACCCTCTATAGTTAATGGGGTAAACTCCAGTACTACCCAGTATGAAGCAGCTAACAATTATTAAAATAACTTGAAAACTAAAATTCTCAAGGTGTAAAATACACGGCCCTTTCTTAATCAAATTTGAGAGTTGATAACTCACTTAAAGCTTATGTCAAAGCAGTTCCAGCTGCCATTGTTAACTGAATTGTGCATAGTCACAGTATCCCAGGATTCCCATTTGTGACCTGTCAGTTTGCCCATTGAGTTTGTTGGAAACTGGCAGTGAAGATTGCAAATGGCAATCACATGACCTTGGAATGCTTCAGTCGTGGTAAATGCATGCTAGTTGTCAAATGTCCAAAGTACAACCAGAAGGAATGGTTTTAAGTCCCCCCATTCGGAATTGTTTTGAAAGGTTGCTGAATGAATGATTGTTGAGCAAGATTACTACCACAACTGGGCTGTAAATCTCCAGGGAGCCATAGATGGCAGCCATGTGATACAAACCCTCTGTTGCCATCTACTGGTCATACATATTTTTGCATGCTGGATTTGGGAGCTCTCAATTGTAAAGCCTGTACTAAGGTATACAGACCCACTCTTGTAGTATAAGATGGGCTACATTTTTAAAATTAAATAACTTCAGTTGAGAGGAAACAGGCAGAATTTTAAGTATTTAGTCCAAAAACCTCCGGATAAATGATGCTCACCTGATACCAGGCATTGTAGTTGTAGGCTGCCTGATTTGCTTGCATATCCCCATCTGCTGCTTGTCCAGACATTGCTTCATCACTGTGAATTCGTTTTTCATCTGGTTCTTCACAGCTGCAAAAATAGTTTGTGTCACTTCTTTATGAAGCAAGACCCTTGCAGAAATTTTTGATTTTTTTCTACCAATAACTATGAGGAAATGTTATACTTTCCTACATGCTGAACTTGCCCATACATTTCCTATCCTATTGTAAACTCTGAAAAGCACAGTCACTTTTAATCAAAATGTAATCTCTCAGCAGTGGGTGCCAAATGCGGAGTTCATCACTTAAGCCTTTTTCAGGGCCCTTCCTGCAATCTTGAATAGAAAGATGGTGACTGTATTTTTAGGCAGGTTTATTTGGCACAACATTCAACGTTTCCAGAGTGCTACGGCATTACTGAATAACGAATTTTAAACTGAAGACTGGAATTCAATATACCACTTTACACATAAACTTTGTACATTAAATATGTCATGCAACATTTAAAGTCTTAAATGGATGCATGGGTCAAAACAAATTTTCCTTAGTTTTCTTCAAGACAATAGATCATTATTACCAATTCATTTGAAGAAATTATGGGAGGCCTTTTGAGCTTCCTGTTTAATCTTAAATGACATCTGTAAACAAGTCCCAATTATTTTTTTCCTTCGACAGAATTAAAGATTGCTTATGTAAAGGGCATGCAAACATATTTTAGTACTGCTGCCTATAAATTATTTACTTAATTAAGTAAAAAGTATATTTAAAATGTGAATTGTTCTATTCATATCAAAAATGATTATAACAATCTATGATCACATCAAGGAAAAGTATTTTTCTTGCTCTTGTTTTCTGGAAATATGATATAGTTCTTGACTTGTGACAGGTCACTTAGCGAGCAGCCAAAGTTCCGCGGGACCTACTTATGGACTATTTACAACCTAGATTCAAAGTTCTGACAGCGCCCCATACCTGTGTTCAGTTGAGTACACTTTGGATGCTGGGCAACCAGCCTACATTTACAACCATTTGCAGCGCCTGCAATCATACTACATTTTATAGCAGCTTTTGTCAAAAACCAGCATATCCGGTTTTCAGCAAGACCACACCATAGCAAACCACTGATTAGTTTTAATGATTGCTGCAAGAAAAAAATCATCTGGTTGTTTATGTGACCAACTTGTTTTATAACTATCACCAAGTTATGACCATGCTCAAGGACCACCTGTGCACAATTCCTCTCAATATATAATTAATTTACATTTAATCAGCTCGGACATGTACTAGCATTAGTAAGGGTTCAAAAATATAACAGTAAATAACAGTTATATTTAAAAAAGCAATCCAGTACTTGTAGCTAGAAAGAAAATGTGTGTACCCATTCTCTGCTTTTCTTTTTAAACATTCTTGTTCCTTTAGAAGGGCTTGATGTTCTTCATAAGCATCTAAAAGTCTACCAAAAGAAAAAAGGAAAACTATGAGATTCCTACTCCAAACATACTATGCAACAAACGTAACTCCCGACACTGGTTCCACTTTGTCAATAATAGCTGGTTTTTGAAAGTACTATTATAATCAGAGTAAAATGGAAAATAAATTTTAGGATTGGAATTTCTGGGACAATTTATAAAAACTAAGCTTGATCATCTTGATCTCTGTATATAAACCATTCTTGAACCCAAAAATCAAAGGCTGCAATCACTAAAAATAAACCTTACTTGTTCACATCCAGGCCAAAATCTTCAAGAAATTCTACTTTGCGCTGAGAAAATATAATCCTCATTTTTATAGGCAATGTTCCATTAATAGCGCTGTCAAAACACAGAATGATGTTCTCCTCATTCTGCTTTAGATCTCCACTGTATTCAATTTCCAACAAATTGAGATACAGTTTTGGATTATCCTGTGCAAAAAACAATACAATTCAAGGTTAATTTTATGTTTACACGTGTTAACCGACCATTATTTGAGAACTATTTTAACAGTTATGCTTAATCTACAGGTTTCCTCAAATTTCTAAATGTACATCAGATAACAAACCTAAATAAACCTAAAAATATGGTTTAAATTCTGGCTTACTATGTATGAATGAGAATCTAGAGTAACATAGTATTTTAAATGATTCCACAACTCTGAAATTGACATAATATATCTAATTACTTTATGCAATTGAAACCACAGCTTGAGTTCATAAATCTTATCATGTATTAATTAAATTTCTATGCTAACTCCCAACAAGTGGGGCAGTTCAAAATTAAAAAACAAACACACACCCCCCCAAATCCAAAACAATAATAAGGAAAAAAGAATAGCAAAAACGACACCTTCAACACCCAGAATGAGATTTCAATCATTTTTATCGAACCGTTCTTCAAGGCCCTCAAAACGTTTTACAAATTTGGGCCATATTTTATGCTATGTAAAACAACCATGTTACAACCATGATTTACAACTTAACTATATATAAACTCAGTGTGGCTGTTCAGTAAATCATGACTTAGTATATATGAACTCAGCCAAAGTCTCTGAGGTATGTAAATCCATTAGTTGTGCTCTTTGTGAAACTGCTTGCTCTGTTCCTGAAGGCTTCCTACGCAATCTACATTTTAAGACAAAGTATACAAAAGAGATGGATTTCCTAGTTCAGTTTCTCCAGTGTGAGGAAAGTCAGATCAGATGCCAAGAAAACAGAAGGGCAAATAAAGTTTATGCAGCCCTATACTTCTTACTAAGTGAAATCATTAGAGGATCCAATGCAAGACAACTCGTTATCTCCTTGTGTCAGCACTGCACAAATATGCTTTTTGCAACAGGTTTCAAATTACAGCAACAACTTGAGGCTAAAATATTAGGTGTTTTAATAGTAGGAATGCTTCTTGACAGCTGACCCAATGCTTTGGGAATATGTATCATTACAAGCCCTCTATCCTACTTCCATCAAAGAAATTATCAGCAATTTTACAATACCTAGAAAATTAAATGGCTAAACTCATCAGAATATACTTCAGTAAGAGAAAGAATACCGTAGCAGAAAGTCTTTATTCATCATAAATATACGCTTGCAAGAACTGGTTAATGTCTTGCACCATAATCAAAACATTTTTTTTTTTAAAAAAAACCTCCCTTTTTATAATCCTGTACTGGATAGAACTG